TTTTTTAGCTTTCTTCTTCAAGTTCACCCATCATAAAGTCTCTGAGCTTCACACATAAATTATAACATAAATTAGATAAGAGACTTATTAAGGAGAAAAAGGATTATACCTATGTATCTGTACAAAAGTATTCATTGCCTGCCACCCTCCTACCAATGCTTTGGGTACTGAACAGTGTCTTGTATATCATAAAATTTCATTTTATGGGAGCTGGAGAGATGGTTCAGTGGTTAAGAGCACTAACTGCTCTTCCAGAGGTCCTGAGTTCAATTCCCAGCACCCACATGGCAGCTCACAACTGTCTGCAACTCCAGGATCTCACACCCTCACACAGACATGCATGCAGGCAAAACACCAATGTATATAAAAGAATAAAAATAAATAAATAATTAAAAATGTTTTTACTACATAAAATGTAATCATTTTACTACAAAGGAAGGATATGTGAACAAAAAAGAATACTGTACGTTGTGCTAAATTAAGGAAAAGTGAAGAAGGGTAAGGGAATAGAGAGAGATAGTACATTGTTTTAGAAGGTAGAGAGTGCATTGTGAGTCTTGGGTAGGCAGAGGAATATGGTTAGGTGGTGTAGCAGTCAGCTCTTGCTGAAATAACCCTGTGTAAGCCATAGCACAGGAAAGCACTTCATTTTGTGGACATGTCTGTTGGTCACATGGCTTTGGTTGATGAGCAGAGGTTTGAATAAGTAAGAGCTGGGTCCTCGTTGGTTTGATGTGTCCTTCATCCTCCATGGATGAGTGGGCCAGCTGGGGCACGGCAAAAGTGTAAGAGCGCAGAATGAGAACACAACGGCTCTTAAGTCTCCTACTCAGAACTTGCCACTGGTACTTTGGCTTACATCCCATTGGCTACAAGGAATTCTGTGATCAGATATCAGTGCGTTGGGGAGGTAGGCCTCACCTCTAGGGAATGAGTTGCAGAGTCACCAGGATGCAGATAGGGCGGGAGTTCAGGGCAGTGGGCTGGGTGGGGAGTAGCCCAATCTGAAACAGATGGTTCAAACCAAAACTGTGTGTCTCCAGCTACGACATTTATATATACAAATACATATATCAAATGATAAAGCCGCCTTTGGTGGAATCTTGTGTTTTAGATTAAATTTAAATAAACCCATATGATAATTACACATCAGCATCCCTGAGGTGGCTTATGGATCATGGTTGCCAACCTCAGGAGACCTGGGAATGCAGGCTGCAGGCCTTACCAGTGCTGAGAGAGAAGTGCGTCTTGAGGGAGACCTTTCTTACCTTCTGGACTTCTCATGCAGAGAGGAGAGGTGGAGGAAGAGACCAGAGGACAGCCCAGGGCCAGTAATTGTGCCTGCTGACCTCTGTGCATGTCTTGGAATGGCACTAATCTCCCTTGCTCTGCGGCCGACAAGCCCTTCAGCTGGTCTCCATGGCTGATCAGGACCCAGGGCAGGGCTGCAAGATTTCGGCTGCTCTCCGCAGCAACTTGCTGCCCGCGCCTACCTGCCTTTGTCTTGCTGTCCTTGAGTAGTGTGGGAAGGATCCCTTTCATGCTTTTTTGGAGAGTGATCATGTCTTCATCTGCCTCCCTTCAGTGAATATTCCTCCTGGGCTCCGCAGCCAGCCAAAGCTCTGGAAGCTGGCCCTTCTCCTGAGGAAAGGTCAGTGTTCAATTGATTCCCACAGCTAATGGAATCTAATCACCGAAGCCTGTAGTGATTGCAATCAGAGGAATCCACCTGGTGAAAGGAATCTAAGTTCTCCCCTTATAAGCAGGGAGAGTGGGGTTCTGGGGCGGGCATGGCTTCTGCCAGGTCTCTGTTTGGATGCAGACTGGCTCTTAGATGGGTGTTCAGATTCCTGTCTTCAGAGTCATGTGAAGTGATTGGCCTTCTGTGAGGAAACCTTTTGTTTCTTTGTTGAGATGGGGGTCTCACTATGTACCCTAGGCTGGCCTGGAACTCCAAGCTGTCCTCAGTCTCACAGAGAGCTGCCTGCCTCGGCCTCTGCCTCCCCAGTAAGGAGACTGAAGGTTTGGGCCACCGTGCCCAGCTCGCCCTAATTTCTCACTCCAGGTGTAACCGTCTCCAGGGAGCCCCTCCCAAACTTCTGGCAGGTTCTCCCTGTTGTCTTTGTGCCGGTTGTTACGGCCACAGAACTTGACCACTGCATTGTTCTGAAAAGGCCTCATAGCTCACTCGGTTCCTGCTTTAGGTCACTTGTATGGTTGGTTTGTTTTACTTTGTTTATGTGTTTGTTTGGGCTTCCTGGCAGAGGGTTTCACTGAGTAGCAGCCAAGGCTGACCCAGGCTGGCCTTGAGCCCCAAACCCTCCTGCCTCAGCCACTTAAATGTTGAGCAGTTTTAGAAGGCAGGGTCACAGAGGCAATGGAAGTCTTAAAGCCAATCCCCACTCTGAAGCCGGCATGGTGGTACATAGCCGTCTCAGCACTCGGGAGCTGGACAGAGGAGGATTATAAGCAGAGGCCAGCCTCCACTTATTAGCAAGTAGCTGGGTTGTGTGAGATCCTGTCTCAACAGCAGCACAAAACAAAAAACAAAACAGGCTGGAGGGATGTCTCAGCAGTTAGAGCACTGGCTACTCTTCCAAAGGACATGGGTTCAGTTCCCAGTACCCACAGCTGTCTTTCTATAACCCTAGTTCCAGGGGATTAAACACCCTCTTCTGGCCTCCACAAGCACTACATGCATGCGGTACCCAGATATGTACGAAGGCAAAACACTCATCCACATAACCTAAAACAAAAAAGCCAAAGTTTTCTCTCTTCGTTGTGCAAGAGTTGAGAAGGACTTCCCAGGGTCTGGACAAGTGAATCTGTCATTTGTGTCCATACACACGTGGTATATCAGCTGCTCGTTCTTGGGCCAGCCTGAATAACGGAGTGAGCCTCCATCTCAAGAAGAAAGGGGGAGGGAGACAGAAAAGAGAACAGAAGGGTTTATTTACATTTAATGTGATGGACATGTCCATGAATGGCTTCTGATCTCTTCTGCTTGTCTTACAAATAACCTGGCTGAGTAGAAGGGCCCACTAGCTGGCTCCCACACCAATGGCAATGGCCTTGGGGTTGCTGGGGTACCAGGTTAGAATGCACAGTTCCGGCCCCATGCCTGAAAATTCTGACTCAGTCTGCATGGGGTGGAATCTGGAACTCTACCTCTGACATTTAGCACAGGCGACTCTGGCCCTGACACATGGCCAGCTTTGGAAGCTAGTTGAGTCTGAAAAGAATGTTCTCTTCTTGGATGTGAGGAAAGGTCAGGGGCCCTATGGTGACTTACACAGCTTCCTGGGCCTCTCTTCTGTGAAGTGGGAATCACCATAATCTACCGGGATTACTAGTGCCGGGCAACACATTGCCCCAGAACTTCATTTAAGGTGTTTTTTGTTTGTTTGTTTTTTTGAGACAGGGTCTCTCTATGTAGTTCTGACTGTCCTGGAGCTCCCTATATAGACCAGGCTGGCCTCGAACTCACAGAGATCCGCCTGCCTCTGCCTCCCGAGTGCTGGGACGAAAGGCGTGCCCTAGCTATCATGCCCATTGAGAGTTGACTTCTTAGTGATATTGGTGGATGAGGGGACAAGAAAGCCAGGAAGGAACCGTGTGGCCTTTTCTGATTTAGTCATTATTCTCAGTGTCACCTGTGGTACATGGAAAGCACTCGAAAGCCCAGCTAGGTTTGAGGGTGTATCCCCACCTCACGGTGAAAGACTGACCATCTGCGCTCAGCAGCGTTGGAAAGCAGCACCGTATGTTGTGAGCTGTGTCAGGCAGTGAGGTGAGCTCTTGGGCTGACAGAACCTCTTCCAGTCTGAGGCCTGGGAGCTCACAGCATAGTCAGTACCAGGCATAGTCAGTCACCTTTCCCGTTGGGGGGCCATAGAAATGTAGAGAAGGGTCAACGCTTCCCAGTCCCTGGTCATCGCTAGTCACTTTGGACAGAGTTCAAGGCGGCAGTGAGGCACCGAACACCTTAGCTCCCCCCAAAGAGTGGTCAGATCCACAAAGCCTCTCTTGGTTCCTTGTGACCCCAATATCACCCCTCCCCCTATGCCTAGTCTCAACTGGCAGCTCTTTGGATTGGAATGGAGACTCCAGACCCCCAGGGGCCCACTTGTGACAGGGTGGCATGGCTCTTCTGCCCGACCCAGGCTGAATGACACCGAGGGAAGGTCCGTCCGGCAGAGACTGGGGACAGTCCCAGGCAGGAGGAGATGGCTGCTTGCTTTCCCTTGCTTAAGTTCTACAGGCCTCATCTAAGGAGCATGGAGACAGCTGGGGCTCCCTGCAGTGCCCGAGGGGGCAGAAATGTACCCCGAAAGGCAGGACAGCCCAGGGAGAAGCCATTATGGGCCTGGCATTTGTGAAAGGGGTCCAGAGGGGCAGAAAAAGAGTCCGCCTTTGGTGCCCTGAGGAACCGGCTCTCCCAGGCCTTCTTCCTTCCTTTCCTCCTGGGGTTCTCCAGCTGCTCCGCCAGCGCCCCTCCTCCACTGGCATTACATTTAGCAACTGCCTTGTCTTCAGAGCTGGTGGGGAAAGAGAAGCTCACAGGAATGTGCAAGTTTAACCCCCACCCGCACAGTGTGTGTTCCTTGTATTCCACGGGGCATAGTCCTGATGGCTGCCAAGAGCTGCAGTGTGTGTGTGTGTGTGTGTGTGTGTGTGTGTTCTTTTTCTGAGACAAGGTCTCAAGCAGCCCAAGCTGGCCTCAAACTTGCTATGTAGCTGACGGTGATCTTGAACTTCTGATCCTCTTGCCTTCACCTTTTGAATGCTGGAATTATAGACATACATCGCCATGTTTGGTGTTTGTCATCCATCTGAGCCTCCCTCCCCCTCCCGCCCCCCCCCAGCCATGTATATGTGTGTATGTGTGTGTGTGTGCGCGTTTATTCTGGGAATCTAACTTAGCTCCTCATGCTTGCTTGCAAGCATTCACCAACTGAGCTCTCCCCCAGCCCCCACGCCCAATTTTCTGCACTGCTGCGGATTGAACCCAGGTCTTTGTGTGCGCTAGGCAAGCACTCTACCAACTGAGCTACATCCCCAGGCCGCTGGGTTGTCATTGATAAACACACACCACAGGTCCCAGGGTAAGCACCCCAGGAATCCATGGTAGGGAAGGCAGGGCCAAGAGAGGCCTCCTCAGGGCAGGGAGTAACAGAACTGGGCCACAGGGAAGACTGCCTATTCTCATCGCCTTGCCTCAGTTTCCTTGCCTGTAAAATGAGGGTAAGGAGGTGCTCTCCTCATGAGGAGGAAATGAGGGGTGCCCTTAACCAGCTTGCTCCCCAGGAGAAGCTAAGAGGCCGAGAGTGGAAACGGAATTTAAGCACTCTCCCTTAGCAGCGGACATAGGGTAGAGGAAACATTTATTTATTTTTATTTTTTTATTTTTTGAGACACGGTCTCACTATGTAGCTTTGGCCAGCCTGGAGCTTGCTATGTAGCCCAGGCTGGCCTCAACACACAGAGATCACTTGCCTCTGCCACAGGAGTGCTGGCATTAAATGTGTGTGCCACTATGCCAGGCTTGGCTTTGAATTTATGATCCTCCTGCCTCAGACTCCCGAGTGTTGGGATTATATATATGGACCATTGAGCCTGGCCTTAAGCCTCAGTTCTATCACCTATAAAATAAGGTCATGGCTGTCCCTTATTTTGACCATACATTCATGACAACTACATAAAGGAATGCATTAACTCTACCTTTCATACTTTGTCGGTATTTACCATGTGGTGGCATAAATGAAATTAGTAAACAAACAAAGCCTCTTTCCCTCCTGGCTCACAGCTGTGCACCCGGAGGGTGTTTGGTTGCTGTTGCCGCCGTGCTGGGGGTTGGACTCGGAGCTTTGTGAACACCAATTGCTTACCACTGAGCTATACCCAGGCTCGCGAGACAGTGTTTGATTTATAGATAACCGGAGAGCTGACTTCCATTGGCAGCTGCTTATCATCAGAGGCAGAAACGGGGCTTTGAGAGCCGGACAGGGTGGCGCACGCCTTTAATCCCAGCACTCGGGAGGTAGGGGCAGGTGGATGTCTGAGTTTGAGAACAGCCTGGTCTACAGAGCGAGTTCCAGGACAGGCAGGGCTACACATGGAGAAATGGAGGAGAAAAGGTTTTCTGGAGAGATGGCTTAGTGGTTAAGGGTGACTAGTACTCTTCCAGAGGGCCAAGATTTGGTTCTCAGCAGTCACATGGTAACTAAACTCTCTCTGTGTGTCTCTCTCTGTCTCTCTCATTCTCACTCTCTCTCTCGATGGTGTCTCATTGTGTAGGCCTGTCTAGACTGGAACTCATTTTGAAGACCAGGCTGGCCTTGAACTCAGAGATCCTTCCACCTCTGCCTTCTGAGTGCTGGGATTAAAGGTGTGCACCGCCACACCTAACCTCACAATTGCGTGGTTGTCTGGTCAGTTGGATACGACAGGGCTAGACCATAGAGCTGGTGTGATTGCCAGGACAGTTCAAGATGGCCTCCAGAGGGGCCTGGCAGTTGGTGCCCATTGGCAGCTTCAGTCAGTGGCTTCCTGTCTTCTAGTATATGAGGCTGGCTGTGCTCATGTGGCAGTCTCAGAACTGCCCCAGAGAGCAAAGGAAAAAGCTACAGGAAGGCCTCTTAAGGGGTCACCTCAGAAGTCACGTAATACCACTTCGGGAACATTCTGTTTGCTCAGAGCAAGTTTTAGGCCTGTCCAAATTCCAGGGGGCGGGGCTATAGGTATTCCTGTTTTAGTCGCCTGAGAATTTCATCAGCAGAGTACCTGAGTGCTGGTGGGATAACCAATGATTTTGTGGGCTGGACGTCACATCAGCGTGTCAGTGGGCTTGGCTTCTGTGAATTTTCTGTCCTCGGCTTGTAGATGGCTACCTTGTCATTGTGTCCTCCTATGTTGTCCCCTCTTGGTGTGCCTGTGTCCTAACCTCCTCTTCCTATGAGACAGCAAAGTGGATTAGGGTCTACCCTTGTGACAACATCTTACCTAACCACCTCTTTGAGGGCCATGCTTTCAAGTGAGGTCACATTCTGAGGTCCCACGCCAGTAACATGAGCATACCCCTCTCCCCATCTTGGCAGGAGGGGCTGACAAGAACCCATGCCTGTGTTTGATGGACTCTGAGGAGACCCAGTGTCTCATCTTGGAAGGGCTGTAAACAGGCCAGCTGCTAATACAACTGTTGCTGCTACTGTATCATCTGCTCACCTGGAGGTTAGTTAGAGAGGAAACACTCCGACTGGGCCTCACGTCCTCCATTTTCATAAGCAGGCACCTTCCCCAGCTGCTGGCGCGGCTGCTGTCCCTAAGATCTTGTCATTGCTGGCCACACAGCAGGCTTCTGGGAGCACCCGACCTGTCCTTACCACTTGTCATTCCTGCTCCCTTTCAGCTCACCTTAAGTGGACTATGTGGGTGGCCTCCCAGAACAGGACAGGGCAGACTGACCACAGCTGCCTTTGCCAACTCCTGGCTACAGCTCTCCATCTTCCTTCGGGCTTCCTTTCCCCCACGGTGTCAAATGTCTCTGCAGGGCAGTCTCCTTGGAGAGAGCATCTCACTTCTTCCCAGACATAGGGAGTGTTCAGAAGACATTTACAGAGCAAGACTCATTTTAGAGTCGTCATGGTCTTCAGGCCCTCCTAGTTCAGAGGCCCAGAGCCCTGAACTTCCACGAGCCATGTTGGGGGTTCTGTTGTTGTTTTGTTTTTAAATAATCCTCTCTCTCTGTCTCTCTGTCTCTGTCTGTGTGAGGTTGAGGCCAGCTTGGGCAACAGAGGGAGTTCTAGGCCAGCCACAGTCTGTGTGTGTGTGTGTGTGTGTGTGTGTGTGTGTGTGTGTGTGTGTGTGTGTGTGTGTGTGTACTTTGTGGGAGATGTGGGCACTTGTGTGCTTGGTGCCCCTGTGGGATTCAGTTCTCTCCTTCCACCATGGGTTCTGGGATTCAAGTCAGGTCACCAGGCTTGTGCAGCAGGGGGCTTTTACTTGCTGATCCATCCCTCTGCCCCTCCATGAGGATTCTGAAGGGTTTTCCCATCGGAGCCTCCCTTCAAGGCTCCCTGCCCCTCCCCCATTCCACAGCTGCTCATTTGAATATTTTATTTTAGTTTT